ACACACACACACACACACACACACACACACACACACACACACCCCCCAGTGTCTGGAGCATCTGCAGTTAAGACAATGGGCTTCAACACAGGGGCTTTACCACCAAAGAAGACCCAAAAGGGAGAGAGGACAGGCTGGGGAAGAGGCATTTTCTAGAAGCAAAATGGGAAATACATGTTTGTCAGTTAATCGCCAACGCTTGTCTCTTGACTGCAACTCACAAGTCACCCTCCAGGACAGGGCACAACTGCCCCATGGGGTTTCAGCTGCTGTAAATCTTTCAGGGAGGAGACTGCCACATCTGTCTTCAGCGGAGCAGCTGGTCAGCTGAACCACTATCCTTCAAGTCACAGCCACGTTACTAGAGCCCAGACTTCACAGCAGTGCGATTCCCAGGAAAATCCCGTGCTGCCTCAAGTTTCCTCCTATGACGGGGCACAACCCTCACGTCTGCCTGCGGGGCTGCCTGTGTCTTCGCCCATGAAAAAGACTTTGCAAACAGAAAGGCACTGGTTTCCCAGGGAGGGAGTCTGGCTGACAGCAACCTTGAGACAGGTGAGCCTCACCTGGCCTCGCGTCCTGCGAAGCGGGGCAGTAAGAACCTCTCGGAGGATCAGGGGATGCGGGGAGGACTAAGCCGAACACGACGGATCACTTTGGGGCGAAAACGCCGAAGAAGCCCACTACTGAGTTATTCTTCCCGTTCCTAAGCCTCACTCCTCGGGGACTCAAGTGACAACTCAGAAGCCGGGTGACAGCCCTGGCCCGGGGGCTGGGGGAGCCGGCTGCGGCGCCCCGACCGGCGGACCCTCTCCAAACCCTGGTTCCCACGGCCACCAGACAGCCCGGCGAGGGGCTCCCCACGTTTCCACCGCCGCCTCCAGGGCGCCCCAGCCTGCACCTCAACGAGCTCAACTCAAAACTGCGGCTCAACTCCCTCCGCACGCGCGCTCGGGTCTGCGTCCCGGACAGCCGCGTCCACGCACCGCCGCCACCGCACTCGTCACCAGAGCCACTCGCTCCTGCAGCTGCTGTCCCGTCGGCCGAGCGTCCGGCGCCCCGGCCCCGCAAACCCC